GGCCCCTCACTACCCCCCCGCACCTGGCCTCACTGCCCCCGACCGGGCCTGTGGGCCCTTCACTGTCCCCCGCACCTGACCTGTGGGCTCCTCACTGCCCCCCCCCGCACCTGGCCTGTGGGCCCCTCACTGCCCCCCTCCTGGCCTGCGGGCCCCTCACTGCCCCCTGCGGCCCTCACTGCAGTCGGTGGAGAGTGGCTGAGAGCGCGTGTCCTGTGGCCCCAGACCCTCCCCCGCAGCCCGGCGCCCAGCATGCACCCAGGGCACGGGGTCTCCTTCAGGGCAGGGGGAGCTGCACCCCCACCCAGGAGCCCCTAATTCAAAGGAAAGAATACACCTGGGAGTGGAAGTCACAAACTGCTAAGTAGCTGTGGTGAAAGTCCCTATTCTTGTTTCTATGATAAATATTCAAAAGGGGGGAACTGGCCTCCCAGTTCTCTCTGGGCCTGGGTTGCAGGAGCACAGTCTTAGCGTGAGCGCTGCACTGGCTCCCAGTCTGCCTCTGAGGGGACGTGGAGGGGAAGCGGGTTCCCATGGAGCTGGAGAGGAGCAGCGCGTGGTGTGCACTGTCTGGGCGCTGTGGGCCCTCGGGAGAACTGCTCCCGTCCTGGGGCTGCCTGGGCGCGGCGGGAGGTGGGGCAGCGCCCGGCCTCTGTTCACTGGCCGCCAGGAGCACCTCTAAGTCCCCAAAATATCTGCAGGCATTGCCAAGTGAGGGGGGCGAGAGGAAGGGTGAGGGAGGGGTGCAGACAGGCCCTGTGAGAGCCACTGGCCAGACCGCGTCCTCCTCTCCCCCAGCCCCACATAGGTGCCCGGGTCTTTAGAGCGGAGCAGCTGGCTGCAGGGGAAAGTGTGGTTTCAGAGGTCCCGGCGTTAGGTGCTCTGGGCCAATGGGCAGGGGGCTGGAAGCTGCTGTATGCCACTGCGTCTCTCTGGATTCCGGTGGCCTGGCTCCCAGCTGCAGGCGCTCGGGGGACGCGGGCCTCGGTGGTCTCTGTCAGAACTCCTGGGAGTGCGGTGTCTCACTGAACGGCCCTGCGGCCCCAGGGCAGGAGGGGCAGTGTGGGGGGAACTCCCCAGCTAGAAGGAAGGACGCCCCTCCTAAATGCCGAGACAGAAGAAGCCAGAGAACGCTGAAGCGGCCGCCTCAGCTCTCTCCGCTGGGTCTCAGACCAGTTTCACCGTCTGTGTGGGCTCTGCTATGTCCACGTGGCTAGTCCATTCAGGAACAATGCCACATGGGGTTTTCCTTTTCTCCACAGACCTGGGTTCCACTGACCCCACACAGTCCCTCTAACACCCCCTATTTCTCTGACACCCCATCCCTCTAACCCCATCCCTCTGACACCCGATCCCTCTAACACCCTCATCCCTCTATCACCCCATCCCTCTGACACCCCATCCCTCTAACCCCATCCCTCTAACCCCCATCCCTCTATCACCCCATCCCTCTACACCCCCCATCCCTCTATCACCCCATCCCTCTATCACCCCATCCCTCTCACACCCCATCCCTCTATCACCCCATCCCTCTACACCCCCCATCCCTCTATCACCCCATCCCTCTATCACCCCATCCCTCTCACACCCCATCCCTCTATCACCCCATCCCTCTACACCCCCCATCCCTCTATCACCCCATCCCTCTCACACCCCATCCCTCTAACCCCCCATCCCTCTCACACCCCATCCCTCTCACACCCCATCCCTCTAACACCCCCATCCCTCCGACACCCCATCCCTCTGATACCCATCCCTTTAACACACATCCCTCTGACACCCCAAGCCTCCAACACCCCATCCCTCTAACCCCCCATCCCTCTAACACCCCCATCCCTCTGACACCCATCCCTCTGACACCCCCATCCCTCTGACACCCATCCCTCTGACACCCCATCCCTCCAACACCCCATTCCTCTAACCCCCCCATCCCTCTAACATCCCATCCTCTGACACCCCAACCCTCCAACACCCCATCCCTCTAACCCCCCATCCCTCTGACACCCATCCCTCTGACACCCCATCCACCCATCCCTCTAACAACCCATCCCTCTACACCCCATCCCTCTGACACCCCATCCCTCTGACACCCCATCCCTCTATCATAGGGGGACAAGGTGTGTTTCCACTTTGTACCAGCTTTGAGCACAGGGCTCGGAGTCCCAGGACCGGGAACCATGGATCTTCAAATGGCTTTGGGACCTGGAACAAGAGTGGCAGGCTCCTTCTCCAAACAAGTTAACACCTGCTTTAACACCCAGCACCCAGAGCGGGGTAGGAAAGCAGACGTGGATCATTAGCGGAAATTGGAAAACAGAACAAGGCACATTTACTTACACCATTGTATCTGACTCTGAGGAGTGAAGCAGTCCCTGATTGCGTGGCAGTGGCTGTCGGTTTTCTTTGTGTGCCTGCCCTCTGCCTCCACTTGGCTAATTTTACTCGGAATGTTTTATTCTGGGGTCCCCCAGTCCTATGTAGTGAGTGCTGACGTCACCCC